TTGTTACTATGAAAGTGTGCTAATTTTTAAGGCCTAAAATTATTAAATTTTCCTTATGTGAACGTTGGGAAAATACCCCGGCAGTGATGGGTCTCCCAGGACTGGATTTTGAAAATAAATTTGAAATTAATGGTGACTCCATACCATTCGACCCGGACAAGGCAGACAAATGTGGGTAAGATGAGAGAGAGAGAGAGACGGAAGGGGTTAGCACCCCTCTCTCTGGTCAATGTGAACACCATAATCCCTACTCGCATGGAAACTGGATTGGAGACTCGGATCCTCTAGTAGCTCGAAAGAGTGCTCCCTTCTGCATTCCCAGACCAATCCCTTTTGGACGCAAGGGCCTGAGCAAAAGGATGAGAAAATGCTTCCTCACCCCTTTTCTATCAGAACCCCCACCTCGGGACTCAGCTGAATGGTCTGAGAAGAGAGGAAGCGTGAACCTCTTGAACTCCAGAGAACCCACAAGCCTCAAACTGGGAAAAACAAACCCAAGAAGCAAGAACAAAAACTGCAAATAACAACAGAGGGATAAACTAACAAATAAAAAAAAAAAAAACAAAAGAGCGCATGATTAGAACTACAGTTGAAAAACTAAATACAGATATGAGGTAATCGAACTATACCTCTTGTGACGTGAAATGAGAAACGTTGATGCAAGAGAATGTGGAAATCTTGGCTTCTCGATGAACTCTTTTTCAGCAGCGGAATCTCTGCTTTGGGTTCTGCTGGAAGCAACTTTTCTCTTCAGGTTTGGCGTGGGCTGAGACAGAACCTTCGACTGTTCCTTTTTTTTTTTCAATCTCTCTTTAACAATCTTCCCTCCTCTCTCTAGACCTTCGACCAACCCTCTCTATTTTCTTCTCTCCCTCCTAGCTCTCTTTCTCCCTCACCGATCTTCGTCTGGTATCGCCTCTCTCTAAACTCTCCATTCCGCAGCCTTCAGGCTTCCCAAAAAGAAAACGGCGAGAGTGAGACCCCCTTCCCCACTTCTCTCTTCCTAGCTCTCTTTCTCTCTCACGGACCCTCTCTATTTTCTTCTTTCAGAGTTTTCTCTCAGTTCTCCATTCGGCAGTCCCAAAGGAAAATGAAGAGAGAGTGAAAGCCCCCAGCTGCTTCTTTTTTTCGACCTCTCTATTTGGGAATAGCCCCCGGAAGGAAGGGGGGGTTTTGAACAAAAACTGAGAAAAATGGGTGTTACAATAGGTAATGTAGGGTTTGGGGGTATCGACTTGGTATTTTTTGGAAACATGGGGTAATCTGGGAATCAGGTTAGGAGGAATTCGGGTAACTTGAACAAGGGTATTTTGGTAATTCTAGTGCTTTTGAAAGGAGGGGCATTTTTTGGAATTAGGTCAGGGTAATTTGGGTATTGGTCAAATGGGTAATTCGGGTAATTTTAGTCAAGGGTATTTTAGTGATTTGGGGTTGAGGGGTATTTTGGTGATTTTGGTTGAGGGTAATTTGGGTATTGGTCAAAGGGGTAATTATGGTCAAGGGGATTTTGGTGATTTTAGGAGGAGGGGTATTTTGGTAATTTTAGTCAAAGGGGTAATTCAGGTAATTTTGGTCAAGGGTATTTTGGGAATTTATGGAAATTTTAGAAGAAGGGGTATTTTGGTAATTTTAGGAGGGTATTAAGTCAAAGGGTATTATGGGGATTGGTCAAAGAGGTTTTTGTACGTTCTAGGTCGATTGATCAGCTAGACCTGGATGGGGCAGATCTATAAAAGGTTTGATACGATTAATCTGGAGCCTTGGAATAGAATCTAGGTGTGATCAAGAGGCAAATAGGGTTTGTTTGGGCTTAGATTTCACATATGGGTGTTTTGGGAGGTACTGGGTTTGATGGTTGTGTTTGACCTAATGGTTGAGGTGTAGGTGGAGGTTGATCGGGACCATCGGATAGGTATCGGGTAAGTTTAACGGTGGATCTGAGGGATTTCGGAGTGAAAGTTGGGGTTTTTGGGTGTTTCAGAGGGATCGAAAGGGCCTGATCGAGTGTTTGGGGTAAATTAGAGGTTCAGCCAGCGAACCGAGCAACAATTGGATGCTGACAATTGCCCCTATTTGTTGTGAGGTAGGAAACTATGGGACAACAAAGACCAAAAGAAGCCTATAGAGATTTTTGCGAGGGGTAAGCTTGGAAGATGGGTGAGACGAGGAAGGAGGATTATGGTAAGGACAGGCGAAAAAAGAAGAGTTCTTCTGCAACATCGTTTCATTGTGTTCAAGCCGGCTTTATTCTTGGCGAAGCAACCTTTCCTAGGTATCAAGAACCTTCGAAATTAGGGTACATTTGGCTTGAAAGAAAACAAACAAAATGATTGATAATATGAAAACCAATTGGAGAAAATACCCCTCTGAGGTATTAGAAACCTTGTGGAGTCAGGGTATGTTTGCGAGAACTAGATCTACAAAAAACTGTATCTAGATAAATCTGCGAAAACTGGATCCGGGTAAATATGTGTAAAACTACATATGGATAAATCTGCGAAAACTAGATCTGGAAAATCTGCAAAAATTGGATTAAAGTAAAACTGCGAAAAAACTGAATATGGGATAAAATTGTGGAAACTATACTAAGGTACACCTATGAAAACTAGATCTGGGACAATTTGGATTAAAGTAAATCAAAGAAATCTAGATGTGGAATAAAACTGTGAAAATTGGACTAAAGTACATATCTGCAAAAACTGAACCTGGGAAAATCTGGATTAAAGTAAATCTACGAAACCTGAATCTAGGATATAACTATGAAAACTGGACTAAAGTACATATGTGAAAATTGTATCTAGGAAAATCTGGATTAAAGTAAATCTACGAAATCTGGATCTGGGACAAAACTATGAAAACTGAACTAAAGTGCGTATATGCGAAAACTGGATATGGGAAAATCTAGATTAAAGTAAATCTACGAAATCTATATCTGGGATAAAACTGGAAAAATATACTAAAAGTACATCTGTGAAACTGACTCTAGGAAAAATCTGCGAAAACTGGATTAAAGTACTTCTATGAAACTGGATTTGGGAGAATCTGTGAAAATCGGAAGTGAAAACTAGATCTGGGATAAAATTGTGACAATTGGACTAAAAGTACATATGTGAAGCTGGATCTGGGAAAATCAGCGAAAACTGGATTAAAGTATATCTGTGAAACTAGATCCGTAAGAAATTGTCTTTTGATGTTTGGTACTGCCTTTTTTGAGATTGAGGCGACTCGAGCAATCAAGCTCAGCTTGGCAGTTTAGGGTAAATTGCATATTAGTGCTATGTACATTGCAATAGTTTCACTTTAGTACCCGAACTCCAAAATGTATCACTATATTATCTTGGGAATTTTCCATTTTAGTACCTTAAACTTTCGGGGTAGTGTGAAGTTAGTACCCATCAAATCAAACGTATAACTCCAATATCCAAACTTTCAAAAAGTGTCAAGTTAGTCCATATCGTTAGTTATCTGATCATGTGATGACATGTACAACTTAAATTTTTTAAAATGTCAAAACTACCCTTCAAAAGAAGATATTATTCATTGTCTTCTACCTTGAGACTGAACCGATTGAGGTGTAAAACCATTGTCGTTAATAATAAAAATTAAATGTCACTATCCTTGAAAAAATAACAGATGGAAATAGTCCAAAGTTAATAGAAAGAAAAATAAGAGAAAGGTATAATTAGTTTAAACGACAATATAATCGACAAACAATATACCTAAAGTAGTCTCCAAGGTGAATTACACCAGTGGCGGATGGGGTCAACAACCTGAACAAAAGATATAGTCCCCACGAACCAGCTTATCCATGAAGAATCTTCGGTGTCAAATGCCATCTTGAACCTCATTCATGGACACCACTAGATCCGCGCCGTTGCCTTTGTAGTTAAGGTCTTCACAGAGAACTCTGGAGTGCTTGCTTTTTGATAGTAAATGACCTCAAAGGGCTGCCCATTCGCAGCCAAGGATGCAGCCTCAATGACATGTTCAACCCTCATAAAGAAAATAAATATTGTTGTTGCAAACCTAAAGAAATGGAATAGGGAACATTTTGGAAATAATCAACAGAGCCCCAGTTAACAAGGAACATGTCCTTCAAACATAATTAAATAACATCCTATTGAGAGAAGAAATCTATTGGGCTAAAAAATATATGATTGATTGGCTGAATTTAGGTGATAAAAATAATAAAATTTTCCATACTTCTGCTACCATTAGAAAAACAAGAAATAAAATATTAGATGCTAAAAATAGGACAGGACAAAAAATAGAGGATCATATTGATATCTCCAATCATTTCTATGATGAATTTGAGCTGAGATTCCAATATGGGGGAATGGATGGTATTACAGAGTTTATAGATGACATTGAGAAAGGAATTAATGAGGAACAAAAGAAAACCATAATTAAGGAGGTCACAAATAAAGAAAATTTTTATGCACTCCAGTCTATAAAAGACATGGAATCTCTTGGCCCAGATGGCTTAAATGCCTTATTTTTTAAAAGGTCTTGAGATACTACAAAAGAATCTTTTTGTAGGACGATTAAGGCCTTTTTCATTATGGGGAACTGTGTCGGATTATGAACAAAACTTTCATTACTCTCATTCCGAAAATTGAGAACCCATAAATGGTGAATAATTATAGACCAATTAGCCTCTACAACGTGATTTATAAAGTCATTACAAAAATCTTGATTAACAGGGTAAAACCTCTTTCTTTTTAATTTAATTTATCCATTTCAAGTGTGTTTATTCCAAATAGGCAAATTGATGACAACATTTGAATTGCACATGAGATGCTTCACACCATGAAGACAAAAAAAGGCAAGACTAGGATTATGGCTTGCAAAATTGACATGAAAAAGTGTATGAAATACTTGAATAGGATTTTATTGAAGTAGTTTTAAGGAATTTTGGATTCCATGATAAATGGATTGGTTGGGTCATATCATGGAATGCATTAAGACAATCTCATTCCAAATTTTGGTTAATGGTATCCCATCTAGGGAATTCTTTCCTACAAGAGGTATTAGGCATAGTGATCCGCTCTCTCCATATATCTTTGTGCTATGTAGTGAAGCTCTTACAAAGAAACTTGTTAAGGAATCTCTACTCCATGGTAGCCCCATTAGATGCAAGATGGAAAGGATAGCCCAAACATTCCAATTCTGCAATTTGCATATGATTATATTATATTCACTAAGACTATAATTCCACTCTGTTTGAAAAATTAAAGAAATCCTCTCGAATTTTGAAAGGGCATCAGGTCAAAGTCAAAATTTTATGAAATCTACAATCCAATCCTCAAAGAATACCCTTAACAGATTTTAGAAAATCTTGGCAAATTTTATGAAAATTCCAATCCAAACAAAACAAAACCTTTACTTGGGAGCACCTTTAATTAACTCTAGATTTACTAAAAACACTTTCATGTTTGTCAAGGATAGGGTCAGAAAACAAGCTTAACATTTGGAAGAATAAACCCTTTCCTTAGATGGAAGAATTACTCTCCTTAATTCCACTACTAATATGATGCCTCAATACTTAATGAGGTCCTTTAACCCCCCCCCCCCAAAAAAAAAAATGTCATTAAAGATTTAAATAAATCCCAAATAAACTTTCTCTGGTCTAACTCTAGTGAGAAAAAGCCCCTCCATTTGTTAAGTTGGGAGAGAGTTTGTAAACCAAAGAGTTGGGGTGGTTTAGGTCTCAAAGACCTCCACTGGGTAAATGAAGTAGGCCTTGCAAAGTTGGGATGGAAAATTTTAAAAAAGGAGGATAATCTTTGGGTCAAAGTGGTTAGGAGTAATACCTTTAATAAGAAAGTTTTTGGAATGCCAAGGAGAGAAA